GGAGGAGGAGGAGGAGGAGAGGAGGAGGAGGTGGAGAGAGGAGGAGGAGGAGAGGAACCCTACGAGGCGGAGGAGCAGGAGGAGGAAGGCGAGGAGGCGGAGGAGGAGGCGGAGGAGGAGGCGGAGGGGGAGGCGGAGGGGAGTAGCAGGAGGGCGGAGGAGGAGGGCGGAGGAGGAGGAGGAGGAGGAGGAGGAGGAGGAGGAGGAGGAAAAACCCTACGCCTGCTTGCGCCTCGGGGGCGCCCGTGGGGGATCCCTACGAGCAGGGGGAGAGAGGCCCTTGGGCCTTCCACGCCTCGGCGGTGGCGTGGCCAGGGCAGGCCCCCGCCACAGACTCGCCCCGTGCGCCGCCTGCTTCACCGCGCCGCTGCCGCGTCGCTCGTACCCGACTCCCTACCTCCTCGCTGCGGCCTCGCTAGCTCGGGGGCGCGCAAGCAGGGATTAGCGGCCCGTGGATGTGGCGCGCGGTCGCCAGATCCACGGAGGAGGAGGAGGAGGAGGAGGAGGAGGAGGAGGAGGAGGAGGAGAAACCCTACGAGGAGGCGGAGGAGCAGGAGGAGGAAGGCGGAGGAGGCGGAGGAGGAGGCGGAGGAGGAGGCGGAGGGGGAGGCGGAGCAGGAGGGCGGAGGAGGAGGGCGGAGGAGGAGGAGGAGGAGGAGGAGGAGGAGGAGGGAGGAGGAGGAGGAGGAGGAAAAACCCTACGCCTGCTTGCGCCTCGGGGGCGCCCGTGGGGGATCCCTACGAGCAGGGGGAGAGAGGCCCTTGGGCCTTCCACGCCTCGGCGGTGGCGTGGCCAGGGCAGGCCCCCGCCACAGACTCGCCCCGTGCGCCGCCTGCTTCACCGCGCCGCTGCCGCGTCGCTCGTACCCGACTCCCTACCTCCTCGCTGCGGCCTCGCTAGCTCGGGGGCGCGCAAGCAGGGATTAGCGGCCCGTGGATGTGGCGCGCGGTCGCCAGATCCACGGAGGAGGAGGAGGAGGAGGAGGAGGAGGAGGAGGAGGAGGAGGAGAAACCCTACGAGGAGGCGGAGGAGCAGGAGGAGGAAGGCGGAGGAGGCGGAGGAGGAGGCGGAGGAGGAGGCGGAGGGGGAGGCGGAGCAGGAGGGCGGAGGAGGAGGGCGGAGGAGGAGGAGGAGGAGGAGGAGGAGGAGGAGGAGGAGGAGGAGGAGGAGGAGGAGGAGGAGGAGGAGGAGGAAAAACCCTACGCCTGCTTGCGCCTCGGGGACGCCCGTGGGGATCCCTACGAGCAGGAGGAGAGGGCCCTTGGGCCTTCCACGCCTCGGCGGTGGCGTGGCCAGGGCAGGCCCCCGCCACAGACTCGCCCCGTGCGCCGCCTGCTTCACCGCGCCGCTGCCGCGTCGCTCGTACCCGACTCCCTACCTCCTCGCTGCGGCCTCGCTAGCTCGGGGGCGCGCAAGCAGGGATTAGCGGCCCGTGGATGTGGCGCGCGGTCGCCAGATCCACGGAGGAGGAGGAGGAGGAGGAGGAGGAGGAGGAGAAGGAGGAGGAGGAGGAGGAGGAGGAGGAGGGGGGTTGAAGGTTGAGGTGGAGGAGGAGAAGGGGGAGGAGGAGGAGGAGGAGGAGGAGGAGGAGGAGGAGGAGGAGGAAGCACGGATCGGGGGAGGTGCCCTCCCCACGATGCGGCCGGTGCCGCCGCGTACGGCGGCGGAAGTCCGCGAGTTCCCGCGGAGGCGGGGGGCACGTCGCCGATCCACGTGCCCCGGGGATCCGTGTCTGCGATCGCCTCCTCCTCCGTGGGCCTCGTGAGCCTCCACTCGGGTCGGGCGAAAGGAGGGGATAGCAAAGGGGGGGGTTGAGAATCAGCTCACGTAGCTGATTTTCCCGGCGCCTCCCGGCGCCGGAAGCGCCCATGTATCGAGGAATGGGCCCCTCGGTGAGGCCGAAACCAGCTGCATGCAGCAAATTTCGTACCCCCCCTTTCCCAATCCCCCCTTTCGCCCGACCCGATCCACCTGCCCACCATGTGGCGGCCAGCCCACAGTCAACCCGTATTGGAAGGATGCGCGGTGAGGATGCACGGGCCTTGGGCGCAAATTTCGGAGCTTTTCGAGCGGGGCGCGGCCGACGAACGTGGCGAAGGATGGGCCGAGGAGGCAAGGATGCAAGGGTACCCTTGGGAAGGTTGCCCATCCGCACCACGCGGGTTGACTGTACCCACTGCCACGTGAGCGTTTTCTTATTCGGCGTCTCGACATTGGGCGGAAGGGGGGGAGGGCGGAAGGGAGGGGGGTCTGGCGCCGTACCTCTGCTTCGTGCGGCCGTTTGGAACCGTGCGCCCTCTGGGGGAGGCCCCACCCGCTCGAAGCAGTGCCGGAACAGGCGCCAGAAAACAGCCAGGATCCACTCCAGGGGGGAGGGGATGGGAAGGGGGGGCTGCGAGGGCCCGCGCCGATCGGCGAAGAACCTATATAAAAACGACCACTTGGGCCTCGTTAGCCTCCACTTACCCACGTTAACTCCACTTACCCACCATTTTGGCG